CATGAAAGAAAGCGCAGACTAAAGTAAACTCAACTGACAGTTTGAACAGCAAACTAAAGAGAATAAGAGCAGCTAAATCAAGCTAAGAGATGTTCCAGACCAGCCAGAGGCAGTGGTGCATATCCATAATCCCAGTGACTAGAGAGGCTGAGGAAGGAGGATCAAGTTCAGGACAGCCTCAACAACTTAGCAAGATCCCATCTCAAAAAGACTAGGGATGTGGTTCAGTGATAAAAGAGTTTCTGGATTCAATACCCAATACCCTTGCGGGTACCCATGCCTATAATCCCAGCTGCTTGGGAAGCTGTAAGGAACCTAGTGAGACCTAGTCTCAAAAAATAAAAAGGGTTGGGGATGTTGCTCTCAGTGGTTAAGTGCTCTCAAGTTCAATCCCTGGCATACACACACAAAATTAAACAAAACAAAAACCATTTCATACCAAAAAAATAAAAACAAATGACCCCCCCCACCAAAGAAAGAAAGAAAAAAGCATAAAAGAAACATTTTAAAGAAATACTCAATTTTTAAAAATTTGTTTATTTTTCTAGTTTTAGATGAACACAATGTCTTTATTTATGTAGTGCTGAGGATTGAACCCAGTGCTTCATACTTGCAAGGCAGGCACTCTACCACTGAGCTATAGCCCCAGCCCCAATACTCAAAAAAAATTTTTTTWAAAAAAATAAATAAATAAAATTTTTAGTTGTGTTTATGTAGTAATGAGGATCAGATCCAGTGCCTCACACATGCTAGGCAAATGCTCTACCACTGAGCCACAACCCCAGCCCTCAAATATTTTTAAATTCAAGACAAACAAATCCTTACAATGAGGATACACAGCATCCTAAATGAATGAACTCACAGTTGTAAATACATTCCTTGAAATTCCAAAACATAAAAATAAGACCAAAATTAGGATTTTAAAAGTCTTAAGTTACTGCAGAGACTAGATAACCTATGAAGAAATGACAACTAGTATCAGAATTTTCACCAACAGGTCCCAGAAAGCAAACATTATCTTCAAAGTGCTGGAAATGAACATATATAAACTTGTATATACTCACAGAACATAATTCTGTATGTTTTTAATATAGAGATTAATTTTCCAGCTCAAAGATCACTGTTGGAAGTATGTATTGAGCAAAAAGAAACAGAAATTTAGAACAATGAAGTAGAATACAAGAAGTAACCATGAACAAGAATAATAAAAGTAGATATGAAAAACTGTGCTGTATATGTGTTTTAAGAATTGTAATGCATTTCGCTGTCATTTATTTTTTAAAAAATCAATAAAGAAAAAAATAGTAAAAGTGCTGGTTAATGTAAATAAGGATGAACTTAAAAATAAATTACTTTGGTTGGGGATTTAAAAATAATATGACTAAAACAACAAATTACAGATAATGGGAGGGCCAGATCAGGTTTTTTCTTTCTTTTTTATTGTCAGACGGGTATGTGCTAGTGTTGTAACAAGGTTTAGAGTGAGGCACATCTCAGACAGCATGAACATCCAATCAACACACTTATGAACCAAAAAGGATCAAGATTAGTTTTTTAGAAAGGCTTTTTTAATTTTTGCAGTACTGTGGTTAAAACAACATTTTAAAGCCGTATGTTCCAAGAGCAACTAGAGATACTAATCAAATTTGTACTGTATTTAAATGCATTTTTCACATGTTAAGGATAACTATTAAATGAATACAAATGGAATGTATAAGCAGAAGAAAATAAAATTCAACTAACCTAATAGCAGAAAAGGAATAAAACAAAGGCAAAAAAAGAGCAAGGTTTATATAAAAAATGATGGCAGAAATGATTCTGTTATTTTTAGTTTTTAAGCCATCCAAAACAAGACTACTTCACACATCAAAGGCTGTAGAATACTACCCAAAACAACACTCAAAAGAAATCGAAAAAGTAAATGATTTATTATTATGTAAGGAAAAAACCCCCAAATAAACAAAGTAAGCACTTAATAACACAAGAAGGCAGGAGGAAATTAACAGCCAAGAAGTTGATCTTTGAAAGAACAAATCAAATAGAAAAACTGCTGATAGGATTAATGAAGGGAAAAAAAATTAAGACTAAGGAATTCTACAGAAGTCAGCCTTAAAACACAGAGCAATCCTCTTTATACTCTAATGCAAAACTACAAAATTCTAAAATAATGCCAGAACACTGCCACACAATTTGTGCCAAGACACTACTTTTAAAAAATTTGAAGAAAATCCAGAAGTTTCAAGGGTATGCTACTAATAAACTGGGCATTATTTCTTCTACTGGCTATTTGTATAAAGAAGAAGTCTTTTCAACCATTTATTTACTCACACTGTTGTCTGATTTATCTTTCAAAAAAAAAAAAAGGTTATGGGGCCTGTGACTGTAGCTCCGTGGTGGAGCACTTGCCTAACATGTGTGAAGCATTGGGTTTGATCCTCAGCACCATGTAAAAATAAATAAAGGTACTGAGCCCATAATACAACTTAAATATAAAAAAATAGGTTATGATAGTTACCTACCAAACCCTTAAAACTAGAGGCTAAATAAAACTCAAATCAGTAGTTCAGGTACTCAAGGATTTTTATTACTTACTCTTAGGTCTCATTTTTTTTTTTTTTTAATTTCTAACAAGTTCATCTTACCAGATACTTTGTTCCAACACTTAATGTGCATCTCAATTTTAAGGTACATGCATTCCAACTGTGATTCAACTAAGCTGATAGTTCCTTAAAATCAGTAAAGAAATTAGTTCTTTTTCAAGTGGGTATCACAGTATTTGGTTCTGGAATGCAATATTAATATTTAAATGTAAGTTCAGGCAGTAATATTGACATTAAACATTTAAAAAATATCCTATAGCCATATCTTTTTCAGGGGAGGAATTACAAACAAAATTTTAATTAATCCAGAAGTATATAATTTCAACAGAATCCCTTTTATTCAGAAACAAAAAGCAGAACTTATCACAATAAATGTGAATTCTCTGGCATTAATCAATATTGGAAAATAATCTGTTAACGTCTTTGCTTTCCAATTCTACCATTAGAAAATCGGATCTATGAAGGTAAAAACTTTGTTTTGCTCACCAAAAGTTTTGATGAATTCAGCAAGGAGCCATGTGAGACACAGCAGGCAACCAAGACAGGGAATGGTGTTTATCACCAATTTTGGCAGAACTCCAGCCTTCTGCTTTACCTAGTAAATGGTTCACTACCCAAAGTCAGTTTATTTCTTTGATTTATTTTTTGTGTAACTAATTTTTGTGTGTGTCAGGATGACTGTTTTAGAAAATGGCACTTTTCACCCTTTGCCTCAACTGTTTTTTAATTAAATTTAATCAGGTGGGGGTACTGGGAACTGAACGCAGGGAGACTGAGTCATATCCCTAACCCCCTTCTCCCCTTTTAAATTTTTATTTTGAGACAGTCTCACTAAGTTAGGGCCTTTGCCAAGTTGCTGAAGCTGGTCCTGAACTTGTGATTCTCTATTATATTCTTTTCTATTTTGTTATTTAAGTATAGTTTGAAGAAAAGACCGGAGAGAAATATACTGCCAGTCAATTCTCATAATACTTTCCTGCCTATGATCATGCAAAGCAAACCAAGTATTGAAAATTCACTGTCCAAATATTAATGATTGCAGCAACTGTCTCTCATTCCCCTCCTCTGTCCTCAGCCAATAAGCTACAATAGTTCCCCTTAAGAAAGGCTGTTCTGCTTTCTCCTTTATAGCAACATTCTTTTAAAGATTTTCTTAATGGTTCCCTCAATTCTTTTTGTCCCATTCTTTCCTGAACCCACTCAAAACAGGCTTTCACCCCTTTTCACCCTCTACCAAAAGTGCTCATCAAGGTCACCAAAACATCTCTGGCCCTGTCAGTCTTTTTATTATTAAACTGTCTACAGCATCTGACTCACATGGTCACTACTTTCCTCTCTGAAACACTTTCTTCCTTTCCCTACCATGCTCTCTTGGTTTTCTTTTTGCTTCAAGTGTCACTTTTTTGAGCCCTTTCTTCATCATCTTTCATAGCTCTGTGTCTTGTACGTTCTCAGGATCTAATTAATCCCCAAATTTCTTCTTTATTTGAGCTTCCCAGCATTTTCTTATTTCCTGTTGTATTTTTTGCCCCACTATTTAATGCTATATGACATATTATATAGTTCATTTATTGATGTGTTTCATGAGAGTAAATATTTTTATGTTTTTAATTAGTGTTGTATTCCCAATACTCAGAAAAGATCTAGCTCACTGTAGCTCAATAAATATACAGAGAATGAGTGAATGAACAAAATCAAAAGTGGTAAACTACTCTGTACTAGGATCTTATCAACCATAYACCCTAGTAAGCATGTTATACACATATCAATCAATCTTCAAACAATCTTATGAGTTTTCTTAGGTTTTTGGAAAAGAGAAAGTGTGAGAGGGGCTAACATCTTCCAAACTACTAGGTGGCAGTACCATAATTCAAAGTAAAATGAATCATGTTTGAAATCAATGTTTTTGGCCACTGCATGGTACCGATTTTACTGGAGTATTATTTTATTAGTTTAAGAAGAGTACAAACTCTGCTAACTAAAGAATCTGTAATAAAAAGTTCCCCGAAATTGTGAATYAATCTTCATTTTCTTTGTGAAGATAAACATTCATTTAGTAACATGTCTTTAAAGACAAAGCCTTCAACACTGCCATTTTCAGTGAAAACAGTGCAGGTGAGAAAGTACACTCTCCTCCAAATCTGGCCGAACAATCAATCACCTAACAATGTTTTGCTTTTTGAAAACATAACTTTCAGCTCCAATCCAGAGCAACTGAATCAGACTCTCTAGAAAACAAGGCCCAGGAACCTAGTGTATTTTTAAAGCTCTCTAGAAAATCTTGGTTGTTAGCCAAGTTTGAAAAACCATTAAATTAAGCAAATCAAAGGTAGCATGAGATCAGTTAATCCCTCTTAGCACCTGGCTCACTGACAATGACCAAATCTCTCTGGTACTGACCTTCTTAGAAAGAGGGACAATGCTACTGGGTCGAACAAGCCTCCGCTTCTTACAGCTCAGTACGGGACGTGTCCGGGCTGCCACACAGGTACCATCAGATGATGAAGAAACTAGATTCAGTCGTTGCTTTTTATGTAATTGTTCCTCAGCATCTGAGCTGTCACCTGGAATATGGTCTGCCAAGACAGGCTGAAGACTACACAGGGGAAGGAAAAATATTCACTTTTTAGAAAACATGGGAAACAAAGGCTCTAATAATTGGTTCAACCTCCTCTACTAGCAAAAGCTCACAAACATAAACATGTGTTCTACAGCGGAAGCAGGTCATTTCTGGATAAGGTCCACTAACTAAGTATGTTGCTGTGTCTGTGTTTATTTATAAGGTTCTTGGGTACGTTTACTCCATTATGTCTGAAAAGTACAAAGGTCAGTAAGTAATCTTAAGTTCCTGTGATTAGGTTTTCCTCAACACAAAAGTGATTAAAAAGTCTTGATAATTACAACTGGTAAGAAAATGATGGAAATCTGCAAATGTTAATGAGCTGCCTTAGAATCAGAATACCTGTGAATCTTCAATTCTAGGGATACATACTGTTGATTTGTTTAGGGTTCTGTGAACCTTCATATACACAGATTTACAAACACAGCCTTGGGGAAATTAATCTGTTCTACCACAGAGGTATTTATGTAAACTTCTTTGAGGAATTCCTCTAAGATTTGGAACCAATAATAATGATGTAAAATAACTGTATACTATTTTTTTTTCTCCATGTCCAGGCCCTTTTAGACCATGGTAGATAAGAGAGAAATACATAAATATATTGGTATAGTAGGAAGCATGCAAAATATTAATCCACGATAAAGCTTCTGCTTCTTCAAATCAGGATCAGTATTGGCTAGAGACAACAAACTCACCTTTTACAAGCCTACTAAGTATAAAAAGTAGAAGGGATAAAACATACGTGTTAATAACTCCATTGACAGGTCTCAGTGCTCCACATGATTTGGTAGATAATGACTCTGAAACAGGACCAACAGGGGCACCATGGTTTTCCAGTGGCTGAGAAACAGATTCAATCTGAATAAGAAAAAAATAAAATACACATTAACATTTACCCAATAACACCCCTATCTAAAAAAGAGTACCATATCATTTATGACAAGCACCAAATATTTCTCATGACCGACTTGAAAATTTGAGTAAAACTCATATAACTGAGGGGAAATTAGCTTTTGCTTTGAAACAAAGAAGAATGAGGAACATAAATATTTATCAGATTAAAAGTAGTAAAGGCCTACTGACAGGGAAATGATCTGTGGAAGAGAACTATATAGCCAAACAATTACGCAGTAACATGAACTTTATGCTAAGGGTCAAAGAGTATAGAGTAATACCAGTATCAAGGCAACTAAGAGAAAAAATTAAATGTAGTTATTATCTGTTTATGGTGTATGGTGGAAACTTGATTTCTAAGAATTGCATTTTTTGTGTGTATATGTATGTATGTGTGTGTGTGTATATATATATATATATATATAGATTATTCTTTTGCAGGAAATAAAATCAAAATATCTAATGAATCTAATTGACAGATACTGACTTCAGACTATATAAATCAAATATGCTTAGAATATATGATGAAATAAGATAGATGTATAAGAATTATGTAAAGGTTTTTAATTTCAATACTCAAAACGAATCAGGAACAGTTATTAGTGTCAGTCACATGGCATCTTTCAAGTACAGGGAATAAAGCCTGTAAGACAATAAAGCTATCAAGCTATCCACTGGTTCTGGGGTTGGTGAAACATCTCAGAAAGATTGTTGTCTTTATCCCCTTACATTTGATCTGGCTTTGGGATGTTCTGAAGTTCTCCTTCCTATAATTGCTATCCTTGCATTTCAAGGTCAGTATTTTGAGGTTGAAATCCCACCCGCTTCTTCTAAGAASAACAACTATTTCTTCACAGAACTATTTCTGATCTTCACTCTTCCAAGAAAATAGACCAAAGGATCTACAGTCCTGAAAGCAGCCCTGGATTAGTATAAAGTAAGTACACAGATTAGGAAGATAATTTAAAAGATTTAATACAAATTAACCCCCAAAGCCAGCTCAAGGTAAGTATACAGACTAGTCATGTAAGTATACTACAATAAGTGAACACTGGGGAAATGTTTTCCTTGTTAGATACCCTGAACATCTACTATCACAAATGTCTTAATTATATTAATCAACGCTATAAAAATTTTGTTTTGTTTTGTTTTGTTTTGTTTGGCAAGGAGTATAGAGATTTAACTGCAAGGACATCTTCCAGGATAAAATGATACCATTGTTTAACCAAATCAAAACGGCACAGATTCATTCCCTTAAACTGTTTTGACTTTCCTTGGAAAGCAACATGGTATTAAACAGCAAGAASTATAAGATAATTAAATTGTATTTATAAAGTTCCTCACAGCAATAATATCAATAACCTAAATGCTCAGTATCTGAGGCATAATTACAAATTGTAGTGTACCAAATCAAAATGTCAAAAAGAATCATAAAAGATATTACTTTTTCTCATGCCAGGAGAGTATTTAAAGAAAAAAAAACTTCACAGAAATTGTTTTAGGAAATGGGGTAAATGCAAAATATTTTGAATACAGTTGTAGTGACTAAAATGTATGTATACACATAATGAACAAAGTGTTAGAACCGGAAGTTTTCCTTATAAATTATATTTTTACGTTAAAAACAAAACAGTAAGAGGAACCTCATAAAGAATAAACAAACATTACAACATGACAAAAAACTACCAACAATAAAAAGGACTACAAAAAAAAAAAAGATTCAGGTTGTGTGACTTCAGGTATGCTAAATTTGAAGAAGATTCCTTTCAACATAAAAATACTGTGACTATCAAATTTTTGCTGGTATACTCCAATATGAAGAATGGGTGTTAATTTTAAGTTCACTTAAAATATAGCTTTTAGCATTAAGTTGTGACACAGGTCTGATTTATATATCTACATATTCTACAAGGCACCATGTTAAGTAAGGTTGAACCTCCATTTCAGGTTTTGTTTTGTTTGGCAAGGAATATAGAGATTTAACTGCAAGGATATCTTCCAGGATAAAATGTTACCATTCTTTAACCAAATCAAAACAAATTTATCTTTCTACAGAAGAATCAATTAATACTTACCAGTAATACTATCACTCATAGGTAACTACTGCTAAACAGCCTTATTTTTAATGTTTATAGAAATATATTTAAATGCCACTAATCTTTAATGTAATTTTTACTGATTTTTTCATAGATAAACCTACATTAAAACCAATAGGCAAATACTGTTTAGTGCAGAAATGTTAAGAATACAGAAGCTCACAGAGATCAAAACCATAAACATCAAAGGGGAACTTTACAAAGATCCCAATCCCAGACATACAAGTAAGCAATGGATAATCAATCTAAAACCCAAAAGCACAGGATTTGGCAGGTGTTGTGGCTCAGGGGTACAGCACTTGCCTAGCACGTGTGAGGCATGGGGTTTGATCCTCAGCATCACATATAAATAAATAAAATAAAGGCATTTTGTCCACCTACAACTAAAAAACTATTTTTTAAAAATGCACAGGATTTGAGCAAGTAGGTTCACCCATTCTCAAATGCAAAAGGGTTTAAAATAGTAACCTCAATCTCAGCGCTCCATTTAAAAAAAGAAAAAACTCACAAATATGTAATTTCACTTAGAACTTTTATATACATTCACATGAGACAAGGTGAACACTCCCTATCCTGAAGTCTGAAAAGTGTGAACATATTAACAAACTTTTAAGAAATGTTAAATCCACAAATAATTTAGGCTTTATCAGTAACTACTATAATGGTTCACATCATTATAGTGTTTTTAGAAAATTAAAGCATGACTCRGGTATCTTACCTACCCCTCCAATAGGAAACTGAAAAAGGATTAACGAATCTCTGATTGCCCTGAGCAGAGAACAGGGGTTATCAATAAAAAAGCTTCTATCTGCATTTTATGTGTTCCGATGTACCCTAAGAGTTTCTGCATCCCACAGCCAAAAAGAAGAGCAGAAAGCTAATGTGGTAGGTAAAATGCTTTTTATAATCCCCTTCTCTTCAAAGCAGGGGCACAGGGGATTACCTTTGGCATAATCTGAAGAGTCAGAGGAGGGTTACTGAACATTTTTCTTGACTCAAAGGACAGGTGTATGGCATAAAATGATTAAATTGGCAATGACATTCAAATTTGTTACTCATATAAAGCTAGCATCTGTCTGATTCATCACTCCACCCTGTTAGCCAGACAATTAAGTGTAACAAAGCCTTTGAAGAAAAACTAAATTAAGGTTTTACGAAGGGTGTGCTTTTGTGGGGCCTGAGAATCACTAGATTTGTTTTACCAAAAGGTAAAGAAAGTAAAAGGGTAAATACAAAGAGGCTCACACTTAAAAATGCACAATAAAATTAAACTCTACCTTTAAGATATGTGTATGAGGTTTTACTTTGTTATTCAATTCACATCACATCACACCTGCTTGAAATACCATTTTATTTTAAACACATTTATCGGCTAGAAAATTTAAGAGTTGGGTTTTGGTTAGTTAATTCCCTTTCTGACAAACAGTATCAAAATAAAAATGCTAACTAAGTGATAGGAATTTTTATGCCTGGCTTAAGATAAATTAGTGACTCTGTAGGATAACAGTACTACACTTTGGAGTGCATGGTTCTGAAAATTTCACTTCCACCAAGTTACTTATTAGGTTCAATTTCTCCTTATGTAAAATGGGGCCATGTGCCTCATTTTCCTATGTCTGTAAGTTGATGATAAAGGAGAAGTTATATAATTATTACGTTTTATTTCAACAAACACAATGCTGTTACAAGTCCAATGGTCTGAATCTAAGATGTATACTTACTAACATTGCTGAAAACACGCATCTAAACAAACAGCAATTGTAATCACAGTCTTATAGATCTTTATTTTACTCTCTGCCCCCAAACCCTTGTCAGGCCAATGTACCACTCATCAATCCTGGTGACTGCAAAACTTCAAGAAAAAGAAAGTGTTTCCTACTGAACCAATGGTACAAGGAATATATCTCAGACTATTAAAAAATGACAATGCTTTATACTTTTAGCATCCTTTTCTCTGAGAAAAAAAAAATCAGTCCTCACTTAAAGTTCAGTTCTTTTCCCCATTACTTCTGTAAAGTAGGATGAGTAAGAAAAAAGTACAARGCTCATCTTACAAATATAAACTAAAAACAAATAATGATAAATAATAATTATATTTTATTATAAATAATTATCACATTTTATATTTAATAAGCATTGCCTGTGCTAAACAAAACCAAATATCACTCAATTTCAAATATAATCTTTAAAAGAAATATTTACTAATGAGGGAAACATAAGAAAATCCAAACACCAATGAAATTGTTTACCTACTGAGAACATGATGTAAAAAAGGAAAAATGGAAACAGAAAAATAGGAATACTTTTCTATGTATCTCTAAGAACTATAGTAATGTTACACAGACAAAACAAAAACCCAAATCAACTATTTTCTCTGTGAGAATGGGACTAGAAACAGTGTCAGCTACGTACAAAGAACCAAACTCAGAAACAGTGTTTTCAGACTATGTATGATAGAGCTACCATTGTACACAAATATTATACTCTAGTTAAACTTATTTCTTACAGAGGTATGAGATGGTAATTATGAAACGGGAACTGAACCAGTGATTATAAGTGGGTGAGGAGACTGATGAATTGCTATGAACTCACGGTTTTAATACACAGATGTTAGATAAATGTGTGTGTAAGATATAGGAAATGCACATATTTCCTAGTTTTATCTGTTGAGAAATTCCAGCAGCAATGACATAAGTAGTACCCAGATCTTGGTTCAAAACACTGCTCTCAAAAAGAACCAAGAATCGAGCAGACAAACTATAAAATGAGCATGGACATCTTCTATTGTCAGAAAGTAAATACACAAAAGCCGAGGGGAATACGTTGAAAGAACACAGGAGACAATCTAACGGAGCTCCCAATGCCAAT